TGCCCTTCTTCCTGGCCCGGGCCCTTAAATAACCTCTCTGACCTCAGCAGCCGGTCCAACCGAAGCTGCCAATACTGGCCACAAGCCAACCAATCTACCAGGCATCCCTGGCTACCTGGGCCCATGCATAGGGCCGGGCTTTTTCCCCCTGCCCCAGTGACAAGAGCATTCAGGCACCAGGCTTTTGTCATGTAGACCAGGGAGGGAGAGCCCCGCCCTGAGGGATTCAACACCAGCCTCTCACGCTGGCAGAGACAGATCTCTGGAGAGGGGCACCAACAGTGGCATTTCTGCCACACTCCCTAACCCCGGCATTCCCTAACCCGGCAACCAACTTTTAGTCAAGTTTAAATGGGCCTCCCATACTGGGACCAGGGAATGTACAGTCCGAGATGCCTATTAAACTTTTACTCTGCTTAGTTCTGGTTAGATGAGGCATTTGTGGGGGGAGGGGAATAGGAAATGCCCATTGTAAGTCCAGCAAGCTGGGTGCCAGGCCTCCCTCAGGAACGGAGCTGACATGTAACAGTTCCTGCTTCTGTTCCTGCCCCTAGAAGTCTGTCTGCATTTGGCATGGTCCAGTTATTGGATAAAAAGGACAAGCAGCCTTGGAAGCAGGGGAATGGTCTTACAGGTGCTAGAGCATCACCTCCAAATAGTTGCTCATCTCATTTTCCTGCCATGAAAGTTTTGTGGACATATGTGGTGTCACATGCTGTCCTGGGCAGCAAACACATGCTCTGGTGTGAAAGACACCTGAGCACATCCCTCCTGAGGATGCTCGTGCCACGTGCACAGCTGGCTGTGACCATGCACGTGTTGCTAAACTACATGATGGGGGAGGTGGAGTTGGGTCAGTTGAAGATAAAATGAATCCAGACACAGAGGAACCCAAAGGGAGCCTGGGTTTGTAACTCAGTGAGATGGGTACTGCCATGACACGAATGATGTCTGGAGTCCTGGTTCCTGTCTCTGCTCCTGCCCTTACAAGTGCATCTGCATTTTAACTGATACAGCAGTTAGATAAGAAGGATAGGCTCTGATATCAGGGTAGATGTACCCTAGCTTTCAATCAGGCGTGGGATGCAGCAGGCTGACTGACTTTAGCACTGCTGCCGTGGTCTTCCCTCCCTCAGCCTCATCCCCCTAACCTCAGACAGACACCCACCCACTTCCCATTTCCAACACCGCTCCCTTCTCCATTCTGTGTTAACAATTCATAACCCCCCACCAGACTTTCTACAACATCCCATCTCTCCTCCCAAACTCCTCGCCTGGCTCGGCCATCCCAGCAGCTACTGGATAATTGTCTCAACCCTGTTCAACAGGCTTGGGTGGGTCAGCGCCAGACACAGCCTGTGCACTCCTGGGAGGATTGTGGGACAGAGGTGGAGCACCTCTGCAGGCATCCATCGCCACACCCCTGCCCACCGGGGCAGATGCCCCATCTCCTGCCTAGCTGTGATCTTGAATATCAAGCATGTGCCTGTTTTCTGAAGTGCATTTGGAGATTTCTTCCCACCACGGCCTTTGAGAGTTGGCAGCACAGACTCTTCTTGCACTCTGCAAATAGAGCACATGGCCACCTCAGCTAATCACTGATCATAAATATCCAGGACTTGCTTCACTGTGTTGGGTTGCCGATAACTGACAGACCATCCACATGAGATTTGAAGGAGGCAGTAATGGAGAGAGTGAGACGACATGCACAAGTTATTTTGGCAGGGGAAACAGGAGTTTGGACTGATGTAAACCAAAACGGCAATCAGTGTGTGTGATGCACCAGGACACAGGGAGGGATAAAATGGGGAGAAGCTGTACAGGACTTTGGGACTGTTTATTTGAGTGTCTCAGACTTGTCATAACCCAATGATTTTGAGTGCCTCGGCACGATGGAATTTTCCCGCCACATGAGAGTCTCTGTGCACAGCAAAGTTTTCTCTTGCAACAGAAAACTCCGGTACAAGAGAGTTCCCGCCATTCGTATGCAAATTTGTGTCCTATCATTGGCCGATTCTAAATTATTCCTACATGGCGGCTAGCGATTGGCTTGCTAGCCGTATAAAATTCTGTGCGACTTCCGCCCAAGTCGGAGAACTTTGAGCACGCTGCAGAGTGACTTAAGAGAATTCCTGACTCATGGCAGAGTGAATCGATAGCCTGATCAACTATCGATTTTTCCCCGTCGCCAAACGCTATCCTTCGCCGTACCCCTTTTCCTGCATGCCTGGTTCGTTTACGGATTCGCTGGCCCGGGTTTTTTGCCAGCTGGAGCAACTTGTGTAATTATCTAAGCGATCGGACCACCTGCGTCGCAGCTACTAGCGGCGTAAGTAAAGCCTTTTTTGCAACCAATACGTTTTGTCTGCCTCTCCATTCACTAGCCCGCCCAACGGCTGAGTAATTGGTAAATCACCTCAAGTCGGCTCCGGCCGTCTGAGACATGGCGACGAGGATGGGATTTAAGGGCATGGTGAAGGACACGAAACTAATTAAGTTCTTAGTGGGGGTAAAGGTGAAGAGGGCAAAAAATCTGGCCCCCGCTCAAGAGTTTGCCCAGGGCACCCGGTACCCGAGGGAAGGAGGGGAACCCACCCCGCCGGATTGGTTTGACTGTCCGGCCCTATCGCCTGGGTCACGTGGTGACAAAGGCCTGAAGACCAAGGGCCGCCATACGGTGAAATCGGGGGGCCCAAAATGGAAGGAAGGGGAAGTGATAAAAGTGCTGTGTTGTGCGGTAACGGGTCTACTGTGGAAAAACCAAAGTTCAGCAATGCAATTGCGCACAGCGAGCGTGGAGTCACTGGAGCAAGCGGCGGGCTCCGAGCCGACACCAGAAAATGGCGCCGGCCATGTGAAGCCGGCCATGTGAAGCCGGCACCAGGGAACACCAGGAGGGCGCGGGGATTCCCCTAGGAGGCGGGCCAGCCCTGCAATCGCCCTTGGCCCCACCCCCTGGAGTGACGCCAGGGAAAGCCTGCCTCCCTATGAGGGAGAGAAATTGCATTCAGTGCTCCCAGCTGACAGGGGGAGAGAGAAATTGTATCCAGCGCTCCCAGCTGAGGGAGGAGAATTATACCCCATGCTTCCACCCAACACAGTTAACCCTCTCCTGACCGCAGTCCACCCGATAGCGCTCGTCGAGCAGGTCACTGATGCACACGGCGCAACCCGTACCACCATCACACACCACACCCGCACCCCAGGGCGAATTACAAGAGTCATGCCAAGATTCAAAAATAAAACCTAGGGAACCACTAGCCATATGGCTAGGGTGCCTAGTGGTGGAATTCAGGTCAGGCTTGTTAGACCTAAATACGACTAATCTTTTGATGCACCAAGCCTCATGGAGAAGGGGGCACGCTACTAATCTAAACGTGGTAGCGAGCAGCATCTATTGGCCCATTCCGCTCCCAGCTCTCGTTGCAGGTCAAGTGTGCCACAAATTTCATGCGTGGCATAATGGACGACCGCCGAACCCGTCCGCAGAACAGCTACTGCTGGCCAGCATCGGAGTATCCTACACGTCCTGGAACCCGCAGGTACATCAGTTGGGACTGACACAGGCGCAGATCAACGCACCACGGCCTCATCATCATCTCAGTCACCCTGGGGATGTTCCAACCACCCTGGACAGTGTTGAGGTATGCGTAGAGGTTTACGGGGGAAAAGAGGCCGTGACTCTCAGGCTCCTTCTCGGGCCACTAGCCAGTCAGCCGGCTGGAAACTTGCCAAGCCAGATGCCATGGATGCAGGCCCTGACGGATCCCACGATGGAGGTCTCCGGTGGGATGAAACCACGTCCTATGGCGTACTCGGTCAAGGGCCCAGGACCGCCATGGCGTCCGCCTGATCCTCGGTGTGAGCTCTGGGCTCTGCCACCAAAAACACCAGAAGAGAGGGCCAGGTTTGGATTCCTTCTGAACAATACCCGGCTCATAAAACACCAGCTACACGTCCTGGGGGAGAGGGACAGTGAGTAGCGGCCGCCGGATACACCGACGGCCTATTTAGACCCGACCCTACCGACCCTCGACCCCATGTTGAGCTTCTTGTCCGCAACCCCAGCGATGCAACCGACTGGCGGCTGGTGTTCTTTCTCCTTGACACCGGGGCCCATGTCAGCGTGGTCGCTCCGGCGATGCCCCGCCAGAAAACCACAAAGACAGTTGGGGTACAAGAACTCAACACAATGAAAGTTAGGATTGCAGTGCATGACCATCGATGCGTGCTAGAAGCAGTGCTAGGGGGCATCAGCCTCCTGGAAGTTCCCAGGATCAAGGACCTAAAGCTGAAAGAACAAGTGTTGCAAGCCCTCCCTGTCAACGTTCCAGGGCCCGACCAGCACAGACCCTCGTTGACCACATCTGCGAGTGTACAAGGGAGCCGTCTACAAATCCGAGCAATATACCAGCACCTACTCTGTGCTCCTAGAAGGCGATTGAGCCTGGTCGCCCATCATAGCTCACAACTGGCTAATTCGCCGCCCTACTGTTCTCCCAGTTTTCCTTTTTCTTGTTTGTTTGTTTTGTTTGTTTGTTTGTTTGTTTGTCCCCTTACAGGTCCGGCAGTGACAAAGCAGCAATCTACAGCTGCTCGATCGCCAGATCTACCAAGCAGCAAATCGCAGCACCTTCAAGTCAACGCAGCAATGGACAACGCGGGGACACCGAGGTGGCGAATGTTCGCTGGGTTAGAACTTGTTCTTGCGCTGCTTCTTTCCCGTTTCTGCTGCGGTGCTTTAGTTAAACCAGTTGTTGATCCACACGTAACAGCAGTTTGGGGAAAGAATGTCACATTAAAATGTATGATTGACATGAATGAAACCATAATACAAATTTCATGGGAAAAAATATATGATAAAAGTACACAAACTATTGTTGTGCATCATCCCGAATATGGGGTCTCTGTTCAAAGAAAATACCACGGGAGGGTGTCATTTAGAAACTCTTCACTCATTGATACCTCGGACCTTGACAGGTTACAAGGATGGGCGGAGGAGAACAGGATGGGGTTCAACACAGACAAGTGCAAGGTGATGCACCTGGGGAGGAACACCCGGCACCATACCTACAGGCTGGGGAACTCCCCTCTTGTCAGCACGGAGGTGGAAAAGGATCTTGGAGTCACTATTGACTCCAAGATGAACATGGCTCGGCAGTGTGGGGAGGCGGCTAGGAAGGCCAACTATACCTTGTCGTGCATCCACAGATGCATTTCAAGCAGGACCAAGGAGGTGATCCTCCCCCTCTATGCGGCACTGGTCAGGCCGCAGCTGGAGTACTGCGTCCAGTTCTGGGAGCCGCACTTTAAGAGGGATGTGGACAGCATCGAGAGGGTCCAGAGGAGGGCCACTCGCATGATCAAGGGACAGCAGGGCAGGTCCTATGAGGAAAGGTTACGGGACCTGAACCTGTTCAGCCTCCAGAAGAGAAGGCTGAGGGGGGATCTTGTGGCCTGCTATAAACTAGTCAGGGGGGAATCAACAGGCACTGGGGGAGTCCCTGTTCCCCCGAGCGCCGCCAGGAGTGACCAGGAATAACGGTCACAAGCTGGCGGAGGGAAGGTTTAAGTTGGACATCAGGAGGCGCTACTTCACGGTCAGGGCGGCTAGGGTCTGGAGCCAGCTTCCAAGTGATGTGGTGCAGGCTCCCACCCTGGGGGTTTTTAAGAGGAGGTTAGATGACCATCTTGCTGGGGTCATTTGACCCCCAGTACTCTTTCCTACCATGGCAGGGGGTCGAACTAGATGATCTGCCCAGGTCCCTTCCGACCCTAGAAACTATGAAACTATACAACAATTAATCTGCACAATGTGAGTTTTTCTGATGCAGGAGAGTGTATATATGTAAAGTAACTACATTTCCATTGGGAAATACACAGTCGTCAATGATTGTAACTGTACTGGTTGAGCCTACTGTAAGTTTTACCAAGGGGCCAAATTCTCTAATAGATGGTGGAAAGTGGGCAGTGGCAGCCATTTGTACAGCAGCCACTGGGAAACCCGCTGCAAATATAAGTTGGGAAGGAGACTTTGGTAAAATGGAATATAATTCAATTTCCTTTCCAAATAGAACGGTAACAGTTATAAGCCAATATAAGATCATTCCCACTAAATTTGCGAGGGAAAGGCGTATAACCTGTATTGTGAAACACCCAGCTTTAAACAAAGAAATAAGATACTCTCATGTACTAGACATTCAATATACCCCTGAAGTATCAATAACTGGTTAAGATGGAAATTGGGTTTTCGGTGGAAAAATTGTTCAGCTTAAGTGCAATGTTAATTCCAATCCGCCACCTATAAAAGTCACCTGGACCAGGCTAGATGAACAGTGGCCTACGGGTTTAGTATCCGTGAGTGATACACTATATTTCAGTGGCCCATTAGCCTACGAATACATTGGAACCTATATTTGTAGGGTAACAAATTCCATTGGTCAAAGAAGGAATCAACGAACTATCCATATATTAGATCCTTCTATTATTACTACGCAATCACCCACGGTTCCATGGTATCCTTTAACTAATGGCATTACAAGTTTGGCATCCGCCTTAACCTTGACAGCGATGCAGGAAGGCAATAGGGGTACCATTATCGGTAGTGCAATGGGTGGAGCTTTCTTTCTAATATTTGTAAGCATTTTAGTTGGCGTTATCTGTTATAAAAGAAGGCGAACACGCTGTGGCAACTATGTCATTGAGGACCACATTCCGTCGACTGATATAGAGGAAGAGTCTCAAGTAGATGTTTCCCAGTTAACTGATGATTACTAATTATTGTTATAAGTTCAAGCTGTCATATTGTATAGTTTGTTAGAGACCGGTCTGTAAAGTTATTTGTTAATATATATTTGTTACTTAAGCGTTGCAAAACCAACGACTCCTTAGACGAACTTTACTTAAGGCACGTTCATGTGTTTAAAATTCCAGCTGTGCCGTCGGCAAGGGGGCATGTCATAACCCAATGATTTTGAGTGCCTCGGCACGATGGAATTTTCCCGCCACATGAGAGTCTCTGTGCACAGCAAA